TAAGGGGCATAACTGGCTGACCCCTCATAGTGTTCAAAAGAGAACTCGATAAGTTACTCCAAAGGATACCTGATCAACCAGGCTGTGACTCATACGTCAGGCTGCGAGCAGCCGCGTCCAACAGCCTGGTTGACCAGTCCAGCAACCAGGAGGCCTGGTTCAGGACCGGGCCGTGGGCCCGCTAAGCTCCAAAACCATCTTAAGGTATCCCCACTGAAGGATTCGAACCTGGACAGCCAGGGCTCCGTGCCTCTTGGCGTGTCCAGTACTGTTACCGCTAGGCCACACTGACTGTACAAGAGAATTGGACAATTGGACACAAAAGAAAATGGTCAGCGGGAGCTGTCGGGAATTGGGTTAAAGGTCAGACGACTTCCGATTCTTTTGTAGTCAGTGTGGCGTCTCAGACGTTATGGGAACAAAGGTGTATTGACCTGCCAGTCGCCTGTATTTGATTGATTTGGCTGTTTCCCTGTGGTTGGCCGCCCCACCTGCTTGATCAGCACCGAAGTGTACATAGGTGTCAGTCAGGGTGGATACACATGTGTAGTCCCACACCAACTGTCTGCCCCTCTTCCACGGTATATTGTGATGCCGTCTGGACAAAGTGCGGGATCATCCGGGTTTTGGCCTCCTAGGATGCGAGGCTCTCTCTCTGCTGGGCACTGAGGCAAGGCTCCTCTTGATGATGTCATTGACGTCGTTGTGTCTTCCACGCCGCCACTCTGAACCTGAGGGACATTGCTCGGCGACCTCTGTCGGCGTTCACGTGGAACTTGATAAACACCGCCAAAGGGTACCAGATCAACCGGGCTATGACTGCGTGCAGCAGCCTGGTTGATGAAACAAACTCCTCCCTGATGACACTGCACCACAGCACTACCCCTGCACCCCTGCACTACCCCTGCACCACTGCACTACCCCTGCACTACAGCACTACCCCTGCACTACTGCACCACAGCACTACCCCTGCACCACAGCACTACCCCTGCACCACAACACTACCCCTGCACCACAGCACTACCCCTGCACCACAACACTACCCCTGCACCACAACACTACCCCTGCACCACAACACTACCCCTTCACCACAACACTGCCACTAACACATACGGTGTGTTGTGCGCTCCTCTCAAGGCGGACGAGACAGCAGAGCGGGAAAATATGCAGATGTTGTGAACTGGTGCGCCGTCACCGTGACGTTGTAACCGCCGTCAACGTCACGGTGACGCTGTAACAGCCGTCACCGTCACGGTGACGTTGTAACCGCCGTCAACGTCACGGTGACGCTGTAACCGCCGTCAACGTCACGGTGACGCTGTAACAGCCGTCACCGTCACGGTGACGCTGTAACCGCCGTCACCGTCACCGTGACGCTGTAACAGCCGTCACAGTCAACAAGCACTCACCACAATACACCACACAGGAGTGAGAGAGTCACGGCTGCTCTACAACACTTCACTAGACAAGCGTCGCTGGAACCACACACTTGAAGCCTTCAAGAGTGAGGTGGAGAAGTGTGTGGGTGTTGAGGTGACGGGATCAGCCAGGCTGTGATGGGTGGCCGTGCGGGCCAGGGTGGTGACACAGCCTCGTGTAGAGCTCAGGCTGCGCTAGGACAACTCTGGGAGTCGTGCACAGGTAATCCTCTTGACTAACACCTCGCTCTAAGTCATCTTTTACCTTTAAGGTTAATCGTTTCTTGCCCCCTTCCCTTTCTGTCCCCCCCCCACCCCAACCCCCCCCCCCTTCCCTTTCTGCCCCCCACCCCCCCTCCACCTCCCGTCACCTCGTACCCAATCTTCCCTGAAAATTGTGGGAGAATTGAAGCAACAATCAGAGAACTTGGAAGTCTCCCCCCTCTCCCCCCCCCACGTTCAACGCGCCCCCCCCTAGCTCTTGTTTCATCTCTCTCCTCTCTCTCCCCCCCCCCCCCCTTCCCCCAGGTCCCAACCAGGTCCTCAAATGTTCCCGGGGTCAACAGGAGCGATCAGGACCTAGAGTCACGAAGCTCCGTGAATTTCTTCGTAAGTTTGCTACGAAGGTTCTTAAGTATTGCCTAAGAACGTTCCTACGGCCAATTCAGAAAGATGTACTTACGAAGATTTTTGCAACTTCACTTAAGTCTCGGTACATGTCACTAGGGCTTTTCGTTTGGCCAATCAGAGAGAAGGTAACATTTTTCAACTTACAGCTGTAGCCAATCACGACGCCGGCATATCGGAGTTCATCCGTGTTCACTTGCTACCTATTTACGTCGAATTTTCTTTTAAAATTAGTATATTTCGAAGTAAAACTGTTTTTTTCAACTTGTACAGTTAGCACCGACATTGTAGTAAACAAATGTTATATTTGTTGTTTACCTACGTAATTCTAAGAGATATTATCTGGCTTCCCTTGTAGCTTCCAAGATTTGAGAAGCGATGGTATTTATTTACTTATATATTATTTACCTAAATTTACCCAAGGGCCACTACCTATCTAGTGGCCTCGACGAGGACAGAAAGCCAGCGGCTTGTTAAAGGTCCCGCCAATTGTCCTAATGATATTTTCTAGCTGGATTTTGGCATTTACGGCTTCAGCGGGTAGGCGGTTCCATGGGTTTATAACCTGGGTGAAAAACATCAGTTTTCAGTCCTTCTTGAGAGGACATGCTCTCCAACACTATATCTGTGATTGTCCTGTTATCAGTGACTTCAGACCAAATGGTATGAGGTACTTTGAGCTCTGTGATCACTTCATACACTCAGGAATATTAGAAGATATTCCTGTGCTGTAGCCAGGTTTTGCTAGTGGAGGCTAATATTTATTATTACCAGTATTATCCTTATTATAAACGTTAACCATGGATCATTAAGACCTCATATTGACATGTAATGTCAGTAATATTGACCAAGCCACAAACTAGAAGGTGAAAAGATGACGACAATGTTATTAATATTATATTTCTTTTGAATCATTAAATTGTATTTTTCACTTTTTTGGATATATACAGAAAAAATTATAGTTTAAACAACCCATAAATATTTGTTGCATTATATTTTTATTTAAATAGCTGGATCAATATTTTTACAGCTGACAGGATTTGTTTTACTCACAGGTGCATAATCTGTTTAAAAAAATATGTTTATTGTTACACACAATGGTGCTACACAGCCTTCCCGGCTTGGTGCCTTCTTTTGGTAATTACTTACTGTTAAACACAACGAAATTGTGTAACAGGAAGAGGTCTTGGACCCCCCTGCTCCCCCCTCTCTTTTTTAACAGGCCATAATAGTCCATATATTCATAATTATAGGCCTAAGTATTCAATGACAAAAGTTGTTGTTGAAGTTTTTACCCTTACCCTTACCCTTACCCTTACCCTTACCCTTACCTAACATCATTTGTGCAGGATATTTTTTTTTCTGTCTCACCCAGATTCAATTTCAAAATAAAACCAAACAAAATAAATTAAAAATGGGTACGTATAGCTAAGGTACACCCCTAGCTAGACTTAATGCTAGGTGAACAGGGGCATCTGGTGATAGTAAATGCTCCCATCAGCCCAGGATGGGAGCATTTGAGAAATATGAGAAACCTTCTCTCATATTTCATGTTCACCAGTGTTTATTTACTTAATAACTGCTGGTATAATATCTTGCCATTATAAAACTAATTATTATATCATAAAGACATATTTACTGCAAGTTTCCAGCAGAGAATGCATATATAGCTAACACGAAGGACGCCTTGATGAGACTCGCCAGCTAAAATGTTTGTTTATAATAAAGTTGATCCTGTGTTGTGTAGAAGAGAAAAAATTAGTTATATCCAGTTTACGTAAAGCTACGAGTGGTCGAGAGCGTCGTTAGCGCGACGGTGTGTACTTACGAAGATTGTCATACTTAGTTGCCTACTTGAATACCGACGTAGCCGCTACGAAGATACGAAGAAGGAAAACGTTCGTAACTCTGTTTAACGCAACAGTAAAATGTGTACTTGGATGAAAAAACGATTCTTCGCGGCAGGGGATCGTATTCCAGGGACCATAGGCTTAAGGACTTGCCCGAAACGCTACGCGTACTAGTGGCTGTACAAGAATGTAACAACTCTTGTATATATCTCAAAAAAAAAAAACTACGTACGTAACTGCTTCGTGAATCTGGCCCCAGTTAAAGGTTTATTCCCTCACAATCCTTCCCGGAATGACGTGGGGCCCGTGTGTTCGTGTATGTGTGGGGGGGGGGGGGGCTGTACTCACCTAGTTGTACTCACCTAGTTGTGTTTGCGGGGGTTGAGCTCTGGCTCTTTGGTCCCGCTGTGTGGACAGGTGTGTGTGTAAAGATTCGTGAGCGTGTGTGTGTGTGTGTGTGTGTGTGTGTGTGTGTGTGTGTGTGTGTGTGTGTGTGTGTGTGTGTGTGTGTGTGTGTGTGTGTGATGAGCTAGGCCAGGTGTGTTGGTGGCGCGCACATCACAACTGGCGGACCAGTTATTTTTTATTTATTTTTTTTGTAACCTGAGGTTCTACTGAAGCTACGAGGGTTCCTAGTGATAAATGACTTAATGATGGATGTTGGTAACCTCTGGCTTGCAGGACAAACATATCAATTTTGACACTAGCTCTCCACATATGCCAGTTGCTTAATTTAGAACCTGTACTTGAGGTCGATCTCGAACCCATTGTTGATGTGACGACTTATACTGAATTTTGTAACTAGCTCATCAAGATTGTAACTTGCTTAGCTAAATGAATTGTGGGGTTCAGTCCCTGAGCCCATTATGTGCCTCTGTAACCCTTTCCACTACCGCCCACAAGATGGGTATGGGGTGCATAATAAATGAACTAAACTAACTGTGTTTATACTCATTGTCCAGGATTTGTAGTAGAGTTAGTCATTTATTGTTTTTTTCCTCCTTTCAGTTGCTGACGAAATGACTGGTGTAGACGACACCTCTGGTGGTGACGGTGGTGGTGGTGGTGACGATGGTGGTGGTGGTGACGGTGGTGGTGGTGGTGACGGTGGTGGTGGTGGTGACGATGGGCAGGACACCCCCCCCCCCTCCCCCTGTGTAAAGTACTAAAGTATGCCCCATAAACCAAGATATATTGTTATCCTGCACACACAGGATGGCACAGGACCGGACGACTGCTGCCTCCTGTTATCTTCACTCGTCTCTACAATATTATGCTCCTTCGTGATTGATATGGTTCGTACTTCAAGAACAACTTGCTATGTTTATTTCTCTAAGTTAATGTACAGTTGCTTTACTCACAGGTAATGGTTTGTTATTTTGTTTAACTCATTATGCAAATTCAGTTTGTTTCACATCTGATTTTTGTTATGCTGAGTTATTTATTGATCTTTGTTATGCTGAGTTATTTATTGATCTTTGTTATGCTGAGTTATTTATTGATCTTTGTTATGCTGAGTTATTTATTGATCTTTGTTATGCTGAGTTATTTATTGATCTTTGTTATGCTGAGTTATTTATTGATCTTGTATTGATAAATTAACATTGGTATTTTCTATTACTGAAGATGTGAGAATCTTAAACTTCCTTATACAGTACTTACAAGTGTAGGTTCAGACACACAAGATGAACAACACAATATTGTGAAATCCTAAAAGATTGACATGAGGCTATAATTAGTACCCCAATAAACAACATGAAAATGTAAGATTAGGACAGTTTCTTTAAGATGATATTCCCCATTGGCGCAGTTGGTAACACACTCGCCCCGCGCTTCAAGTGCGATTTGACCTAGGTTCGTATCCTGGCCGGGGAGGATTGAATAGGTGCCAATCCTTAACTGTATACCTCTGTTCTCCCAGCAGTGATTGGGTACCATGAGCTATGGGAAGGGCAAGCGCTCAGCCTGCTAGCAGTAGTCAGAAGGATGGTTCTGTACCCACATGTGTAAAAAAAAAAAAATATGTAAATCCCAGACAATATAATTGGTGGTAACACGAACATGGAAGACCTTGAAAAAAAGTGACAATATGCCCATGCACTCGGCCCATGGTTCCAATTCTGGATTTCAACATTCGAAAAGAACTGTAAAGTGTCACTAGCGATAAGTGTAATATGGAGAAAAAGCTTAAAAATAGGCGAGATACTGTGCGAACTTAAATCAGCAGATATACCCCACTACACAAGGGAGGTAGTAAAGCCTTGTTTAAAAACTACAGAATAGTTACACTAACATCTCATATCATTAAAAATTTGAAAGAGTGATTAGGAATCATGTCTGCAGTTTTATGGAGAACAAAGAACTTCACAATCCAGGATAATATGTATTGAGAGTGGGACGGTCTTCAACCACTAGGACACCATGAACATGTTGCTGGGTCGAGTGGCGTAAGTAGGCAAGTTACCGATGGATTCATTGAAGATGATTAAGCCACCTAAAACGTGGCACGGGCATGAATAGCCCGTAAGTGGTGGATTTCTTGTAGTGAATGTGATCTTTGGTAGTGAGAGCATGTGCTGTGTGCTGAGGCAAGTTACTGACCTTGACCGTCAGTCTGGGTCTTAGGAGAATAAGGCACAGCAACAATGACACCATTATGACATGGAAGCATTACAAGAAAAATAAAATACAGAAGTATACTCGGACTTTGCAAAAGTCTTAGATAAGTGTGACCTTGGAGGAGAGCACAGAAAATGAAGTCGATACCAATAACGGGTAAAGTAGGGCGATGGATATACAATTTTCTGTCAAACAGAATGCAAAGAGTAATAGTCAAATACAAAAAACAGTCCAAGCACAGTGTTAGGAGAAGACAGAAGAGTAAGGGGAGATATGATCACCACTTACAAAATTCTCAGAGGAATTGACAGGGGTGGACAAAGGTGGATATGAGTGCCCGAATGAGCCGCAGAGACTTTATATTTTTTTCAGTGTCAGAGTAGCTAACAAATGGAATGCATTAGACAGTAATGTGGTGGAGGCTGACTCCATACACAGTTTCAAATGTAGATATGATAGAGCCCAATAGGCTCAGGAACCTGTACACCTGTTGATTGACAGTTGAGACGGAACCAAAGAGCCAGAGCTCAACCCCTGCAAGCACAACTAGGTGAGTACAGTCAAAAGCTCTGTACCCCAGGGCACAGTCCTTGCACCACTGCTAGTTCTCATTCTCATATCGGATATAGACAAAAATACGTCACAGTTTTGTGTCATCCTTTACAGATGATACAAAAATCAGCATAACAATTACTTCTGAGAAAGACACTGAAAAACTACAAACCTATATTAATACAGTCTTCCACTGAGCAATAAGTTCCAGGTTCTTAAGTATGATAAGAATGAAGAACTTCAAGAAAATACTGGGTAAAAAACAAATCGGACCTACTCTTAGAAGAAAAGCAACAGGTAAATGATCTGGGAATTGTGATGTCTGACGACCTGACGTTTAGTGAACATAACCGAGCAAATATAGCGGCGGCGGCCAGGACAATGATAGGATGGATTATGAGAACGTTCAAATGCAGACCCCCCCACAGCAATGGTAATACTATTTAAATCACTGATGCTGTCCCGCCTTGAGTACTGCTCGGTATTCACTTCCCCATTTAGAGCAGGAGAGATCTCTGAATTAGAGGTAATACAGAGAACATATACGGCACGCATAGACACGAGAAAACATCTAAATTATTGGGACCGTCTCAAAGCTCTCAAAATGTACTCACTGGAAAGGAGACGAGAAAGGTATCAAATAATATATATACATGAAAGATACTGGAGAGCCAGGTCCCAAATTTGCTCAGTAGAATAACAACATACTGGAGCGAAAGGTACGGAAGGAAATGCAGAATAGAACCAGTGAGGGGCAGAGGTGCCATAGGCACAATCAGAGAACACTGTCTGAACATCAGAGGTCCACAGCTGTTCAACACCCTCCCAGCAAACATTAGAAATATTACAGGAACAAAGGTGGATGTATTCAAGAGGCACTTAGATACGTTCTTGCAAGAAGTGCCGGACCAAGCTGGTTGTAGTGGCCGTGGTGAGCCCGTAGTGGACTTACCTGGCACAGGAGCGGGGCTGTGGTGAGCCCGTAGTGGACTTACCTGGCACAGGAGCGGGGCTGTGGTGAGCCCGTAGTGGACTTACCTGGCACAGGAGCGGGGCTAGTGGACTTACCTGGCACAGGAGCGGGGCTGTGGTGAGCCCGTAGTGGACTTACCTGGCACAGGAGCGGGGCTGTGGTGAGCCCGTAGTGGACTTACCTGGCACAGGAGCGGGGCTGTGGTGAGCCCGTAGTGGACTTACCTGGCACAGGAGCGGGGCTGTGGTGAGCCCGTAGTGGACTTACCTGGCACAGGAGCGGGGCTGTGGTGAGCCCGTAGTGGACTTACCTGGCACAGGAGCGGGGCTGTGGTGAGCCCGTAGTGGACTTACCTGGCACAGGAGCGGGGCTGTGGTGAGCCCGTAGTGGACTTACCTGGCACAGGAGCGGGGCTGTGGTGAGCCCGTAGTGGACTTACCTGGCACAGGAGCGGGGCTGTGGTGAGCCCGTAGTGGACTTACCTGGCACAGGAGCGGGGCTGTGGTGAGCCCGTAGTGGACTTACCTGGCACAGGAGCGGGGCTGTGGTGAGCCCGTAGTGGACTTACCTGGCACAGGAGCGGGGCTGTGGTGAGCCCGTAGTGGACTTACCTGGCACAGGAGCGGGGCTGTGGTGAGCCCGTAGTGGACTTACCTGGCACAGGAGCGGGGCTGTGGTGAGCCCGTAGTGGACTTACCTGGCACAGGAGCGGGGCTGTGGTGAGCCCGTAGTGGACTTACCTGGCACAGGAGCGGGGCTGTGGTGAGCCCGTAGTGGACTTACCTGGCACAGGAGCGGGGCTGTGGTGAGCCCGTAGTGGACTTACCTGGCACAGGAGCGGGGCTGTGGTGAGCCCGTAGTGGACTTACCTGGCACAGGAGCGGGGCTGTGGTGAGCCCGTAGTGGACTTACCTGGCACAGGAGCGGGGCTGTGGTGAGCCCGTAGTGGACTTACCTGGCACAGGAGCGGGGCTGTGGTGAGCCCGTAGTGGACTTACCTGGCACAGGAGCGGGGCTGTGGTGAGCCCGTAGTGGACTTACCTGGCACAGGAGCGGGGCTGTGGTGAGCCCGTAGTGGACTTACCTGGCACAGGAGCGGGGCTGTGGTGAGCCCGTAGTGGACTTACCTGGCACAGGAGCGGGGCTGTGGTGAGCCCGTAGTGGACTTACCTGGCACAGGAGCGGGGCTGTGGTGAGCCCGTAGTGGACTTACCTGGCACAGGAGCGGGGCTGTGGTGAGCCCGTAGTGGACTTACCTGGCACAGGAGCGGGGCTGTGGTGAGCCCGTAGTGGACTTACCTGGCACAGGAGCGGGGCTGTGGTGAGCCCGTAGTGGACTTACCTGGCACAGGAGCGGGGCTGTGGTGAGCCCGTAGTGGACTTACCTGGCACAGGAGCGGGGCTGTGGTGAGCCCGTAGTGGACTTACCTGGCACAGGAGCGGGGCTGTGGTGAGCCCGTAGTGGACTTACCTGGCACAGGAGCGGGGCTGTGGTGAGCCCGTAGTGGACTTACCTGGCACAGGAGCGGGGCTGTGGTGAGCCCGTAGTGGACTTACCTGGCACAGGAGCGGGGCTGTGGTGAGCCCGTAGTGGACTTACCTGGCACAGGAGCGGGGCTGTGGTGAGCCCGTAGTGGACTTACCTGGCACAGGAGCGGGGCTGTGGTGAGCCCGTAGTGGACTTACCTGGCACAGGAGCGGGGCTGTGGTGAGCCCGTAGTGGACTTACCTGGCACAGGAGCGGGGCTGTGGTGAGCCCGTAGTGGACTTACCTGGCACAGGAGCGGGGCTGTGGTGAGCCCGTAGTGGACTTACCTGGCACAGGAGCGGGGCTGTGGTGAGCCCGTAGTGGACTTACCTGGCACAGGAGCGGGGCTGTGGTGAGCCCGTAGTGGACTTACCTGGCACAGGAGCGGGGCTGTGGTGAGCCCGTAGTGGACTTACCTGGCACAGGAGCGGGGCTGTGGTGAGCCCGTAGTGGACTTACCTGGCACAGGAGCGGGGCTGTGGTGAGCCCGTAGTGGACTTACCTGGCACAGGAGCGGGGCTGTGGTGAGCCCGTAGTGGACTTACCTGGCACAGGAGCGGGGCTGTGGTGAGCCCGTAGTGGACTTACCTGGCACAGGAGCGGGGCTGTGGTGAGCCCGTAGTGGACTTACCTGGCACAGGAGCGGGGCTGTGGTGAGCCCGTAGTGGACTTACCTGGCACAGGAGCGGGGCTGTGGTGAGCCCGTAGTGGACTTACCTGGCACAGGAGCGGGGCTGTGGTGAGCCCGTAGTGGACTTACCTGGCACAGGAGCGGGGCTGTGGTGAGCCCGTAGTGGACTTACCTGGCACAGGAGCGGGGCTGTGGTGAGCCCGTAGTGGACTTACCTGGCACAGGAGCGGGGCTGTGGTGAGCCCGTAGTGGACTTACCTGGCACAGGAGCGGGGCTGTGGTGAGCCCGTAGTGGACTTACCTGGCACAGGAGCGGGGCTGTGGTGAGCCCGTAGTGGACTTACCTGGCACAGGAGCGGGGCTGTGGTGAGCCCGTAGTGGACTTACCTGGCACAGGAGCGGGGCTGTGGTGAGCCCGTAGTGGACTTACCTGGCACAGGAGCGGGGCTGTGGTGAGCCCGTAGTGGACTTACCTGGCACAGGAGCGGGGCTGTTCTTCCCCCACCCTCCCTTGATTCTTCCCCCACCCTCCCTTGATTCTCCCCCCACCCTCCCTTGATTCTCCCCACCCTCCCTTGATTCTCCCCCCACCCTCCCTTGATTCTCCCCCACCCTCCCTTGATTCTCCCCCACCCTCCCTTGATTCTCCCCCCCATCCTCCCTTGATTCTCCCCCCACCCTCCCTTGATTCTCCCCCACCCTCCCTTGATTCTTCCCCCACCCTCCCTTGATTCTCCCCCCCACTCTCGCCCCACCCTCCCTTGATTCTCCCCCACCCTCCCTTGATTCTCCCCCACCCTCCCTTGATTCTCCCCCACCCTCCCTTGATTTTCCCCCCACCCTCCCTTGATTCTTCCCCCACCCACCCTTGATTCTTCCCCCACTCTCCCTTGATTCTCCACCCCACCCTCCCTTGATTCTCCCCCACCCTCCCTTGATTCTCCCCCACCCTCCCTTGATTCTCCCCCCACCCTCCCTTGATTCTCCCCCCACCCTCCCTTGATTCTCCCCCACCCTCCCTTGATTCTTCCCCCACCCTCCCTTGATTCTTCCCCACCCTCCCTTGATTCTCCCCCCACCCTCCCTTGATTCTCCCCCACCCTCCCTTGATTCTCCCCCACCCTCCCTTGATTCTCCCCCACCCTCCCTTGATTTTCCCCCCACCCTCCCTTGATTCTTCCCCCACCCTCCCTTGATTCTTCCCCCACCCACCCTTGATTCTTCCCCCACTCTCCCTTGATTCTCCACCCCACCCTCCTTTGATTCTCCCCCACCCTCCCTTGATTCTCCCCCACCCTCCCTTGATTCTCCCCCCACCCTCCCTTGATTCTCCCCCACCCTCCCTTGATTCTCCCCCACCCTCCCTTGATTCTCCACCCCACCCTCCTTTGATTCTCCCCCACCCTCCCTTGATTCTCCCCCACCCTCCCTTGATTCTCCCCCCACCCTCCCTTGATTCTCCCCCCACCCTCCCTTGATTCTCCCCCACCCTCCCTTGATTCTCCCCCACCCTCCCTTGATTCTCCCCCACCCGCCCTTCACTCGTCTTTCCGTACCTACGCCTCCCCCTCCCCCCTCCCCCCCTCCCCCCCCCCCCTTCACCAGGCCAATAGTGAACATCAATCTTCAGTAATCGGCTTTATTACAGACTCCATTAATTACATTTCTTCTTGATTACTGTCTGCACGCTCACCCTCCCTCTTTGTTGGTCCTTCCCTCCCTCTTTGTTGCTTCCTCACCCTCCCTCTTTGTTGCTTCCTCACCCTCCCTCTTTGTTGCTCCTTCCCTTCCTCTCCTCCCTCCCTCTCTCTTCTCTCACCCCTCCTTTCTTACTGCTTACATCTCTCCTCGCCGCCACCCCTCTCTCTCTCTCTCTCTCTCTCTCTCTCTCTCTCTCTCTCTCTCTCTCTCTCTCTCTCTCTCTCTCTCTCTCTCTCTCTCTCTCTCTCTCTCTCTCTCTCTCTCTCTCTCTCTCTCCATCTATTCTCACCCTTCCCCCCCTCTCTTTCCCTTCATCTACTTCCACCCTTCCTCCCTCCCTTCCATCACCCATGCACACCCTCCCACAGGGGAGGAAGAGGGTAAGGGAGGGAAGAGGGTAAGGGAGGGAGAGGGTAGGGAAAGGAGACGATTGGGGAGGGAGGGGACGCGGTGGGAGAATTTAAGGGATAGGGGAAGGAGACGGGTAGGAGAGAGAAAGCATGGGACGTAGATGGTTGGGGTTGAAAATGGTGTCGATGAAGATATATATATATATATATATATATATATATATATATATATATATATATATATATATATATATATATATATATATATATATATATATATAGAGAGAGAGAGAGAGAGAGAGAGAGAGAGAGAGAGAGAGAGAGAGAGAGAGAGAGAGAGAGAGAGAGAGAGAGAGAGAGAGAGAGAGAGAGAGATAAAAGGGTATACGGGAGGTAAGGTAAGAGGGAATAATGGGAGGCAGATGCAGTGAATATCTGTATGTTGTATTTAATAATATATTGTATTCCCTCATAGTTGTATTTAATTTGTATTTAACAGGAAATGTGTGCATTGGCGAGTACTCATTGCATTTGTTTTTGCAGGTGTGGCGCTGAAGGCTGGCCGGGATGGTGCAGGAGTCTCTTCCTCTTCACAGTATGATTGTTTACTGACCATCTCATAACAAACTGGTAAATATACACGAGGCAGTATCCGGTGGAGCGGGAGGGCCGTCCGGTGGAGTGGGGGCCTTCCGGTGGAGTGGGAGGGGGGCCGTCCGGTAGAGTGGGGGGGCCGTCCGGTGGAATGGGGGGCCGTCCGGTGGAATGGGGGGCCGTCCGGTGGAATGGGGGGCCGTCTGGTAGAGTGGGGGGGGCCGTCCGGTGGAATGGGGGGCCGTCCGGTGGAGCGGGAGGGCCGTCCGGTGGAGTGGGGGCCGTCCGGTGGAGTGGGGGCCGTCCGGTGGAGTGGGGGGCCGTCCGGTGGAGTGGGGGCCGTCCGGTGGAGTGGGGGGCCGTCCGGTGGAGTGGGAGGGGGGCCGTCCAGTGGAGTGGGGGCCGTCCGGTGCAGTGGGGGCCGTCCGGTGGAGTGGGAGGGGGGCCGTCCGGTGGAGTGGGGGGGGCCGTCCGGTGGAGTGGGGGGCCGTCCGGTGGAGCGGGAGGGCCGTCCGGTGGAGTGGGAGGGGGGCCGTCCGGTGGAGTGGGGGGCCGTCCGGTGGAGCGAGAGGGCCGTCCGGTGGAGCGGGAGGGCCGTCCGGTGGAGTGGGGGCCGTCCGGTGGAGTGGGAGGGGGGCCGTCCGGTGGAGTGGGGGGCCGTCCGGTGGAGTGGGAGGGGGGGCCGTCCGGTGGAGTGGGGGGCCGTCCGGTGGAGCGGGAGGGCCGTCCGGTGGAGCGGGAGGGCCGTCCGGTGGAGTGGGAGGGGGGCCGTCCAGTGGACTGGGGGGGGGGGCCGTCCAGTGGACTGGGGGGGGGGGCCGTCCGGTGGAGTGGGGGGCCGTCCGGTGGAGCGGGAGGGCCGTCCGGTGGAGCGGGAGGGCCGTCCGGTGGAGCGGGAGGGCCGTCCGGTGGAGCGGGAGGGCCGTCCGGTGGAGTGGGGGGGCCGTCCGGTGGAGCGGGAGGGCCGTCCGGTGGAGCGGGAGGGCCGTCAGGTGGAGTGGGGGGGCCGTCCGGTGGAGCGGGAGGGCCGTCCGGTGGAGTGGGAGGGGGGCCGTCCAGTGGACTGGGGGGGGGGGCCGTCCGGTGTAGTGGGGGGCCGTCCGGTGGAGTGGGGGGGCCGTCCGGTGGAGTGGGGGGGGGCCGTCCGGTGGAGTAAGGGCCGTCCGGTGGAGTGGGGGGGCCATCCTGTGGAGTGGGGGGCCGTCCAGTGGAGTGGGGGAGCCATCCAGTGGAGTGGGGGGCCGTCCGGTGGAGTGGGGGGCCGTCCGGTGGAGTGCGGGGGCCGTCCGGTGGAGTGGGGGGCCGTCCAGTGGAGTGGGGGGGGCCGTCCAGTGGAGTGGGGGGGGCTGTCTGGTGGAGTGGGGGGGGGGCCGTCCGGTGGAGTGGAGGGGGGCCGTCCGGTGGAGTGGGGGTCGTCCGGTGGAGCGGGAGGACCGTCTGGTGGAGTTGGGGGCCGTCCGGTGGAGTTGGGGGCCGTCCGGTGGAGTGGGGGGCCGTCCAGTGGAGTGGGGGGCCGTCCGGTGGAGTGGGGGGCCGTTCGGTGGAGCGGGGGAGGCTGTCCGGTGGAGTGAGGGGCCGTCCGGTGGAGTGGGGGGCCGTCCGGTGGAGTGGGGGGCCGTCCGGTGGAGTGGGGGGCCGTTCGGTGGAGCGGGGGGGGCTGTCCGGTGGAGTGAGAGGCCGTCCGGTGGAGTGGGGGGCCGTCCGGTGGAGTGGGGGGGCCGTCTAGTGGAGTGGGGGGCCGTTCGGTGGAGCGGGGGAGCTGTCCGGTGGAGTGGGGGGACCGTCCGGTGGAGTGGGGGGGCCCGTCCAGTGGAGTGGGGGGCCATCCGGTGGAGTGGGGGCCATCCGGTGGAGTGGGGGGCCGTCCAGTGGGTGGGAGGGCCGTCCAGTGGAGTGGGAGGGCCATCCGGTGGAGTGGGGGGCCGTCCAGTGGAGTGGAGGGCCGTCCGGTGGAGTGGAGGGCCGTCCGGTGGAGTGGGGGGCCGTCCGGTGGAGTGGGGGGCCATCCGGTGGAGTGGGGGGCGGTCTGGTGTAGCCGTGGGGCTGTCCAGTGGAGCCGTGGGGCCATCCGGTGGAGTGGGGGGCCGGCCGGTGGAGCCGTGGAGGCGTCCTGTTGAGCGGTGGAGGCGTCCTGTTGAGCGTTGGGGGCATCCTGTGGAGCCATGGGGCCATCCTGTGGAGCTGTGGGGCCATCCTGTGGGGCCGTCCTGTGGAGCCGTGGGGGCGTCATGTGGAGCCGTGGGGGCGTCCTGTGGAGCCGTGGGGGCGTCCTGTGGAGCCGTGAGAGCGTCCTGTGGAGCCGTGGGGGCGTCCTGTGGAGCCGTGGGGGGCGTCCTGTGGAGCCGTGGGGGGCGTCCTGTGGAGCCGTGAGGGCGTCCTGTGGAGCCGTGGGGGCGTCCTGTGGAGCCGTGGGAGCATCCTGTGGAGCCATGGGAGCCTCCTGTGGAGCTGTGGGAGCGTCTTGTGGAGCCGTGGGAGGGTCCTGTAGAGCCGTGGGAGCCTCCTGTGAAGCCGTGGGGGCGTCCTGTGGAGCCGTGGGGGGCGTCCTGTGGAGAGGGGTGGGAGATGGGGGGGTCGTCTGGTGGAGTGGAGTGCCTCTTTTATGCTCTTGGTGTAGTCATCTTCTTATCTGTCTTTCTTTTCCCCTCTTTTCTCATCTCTCCCTTCTTCCACCCCCACCCCCACTGCCTCCTTCACCACCAACTTCCCGCCTCTTCCCTTCCCATTCATTCCCTCTCTCCCCGCTGCATGCCTTCCCTCTCTCACCTCCCCATGCCTTCCCTACCATTCTCCTCTCTTCCACCTCTCCCTCTTTTCCCCTCTCTTCCCTCACCACCCTTCCCCCTCACCCCTCCCCCTCACCCCTCCCATAATTATAATGTCCAACACAGCCACCTGTCCTCACACATCCCATTTTCTATGCAAGACACGTATGGAAGATAAATATCCTGTGTATAAAACTATTTAAATGCTCGTAGTTCCGGTGATTGTGTGTGTCGCGGTATCGTGTGTTGTCAGGAAATATTGTACTCACCTATTTGTGCTTGCAGGGGTTGATCTCTGGCTAAAGAGCCAGAGCGTTACAGGCCAGAGCATTACAGAGCATTTAGCCAGAGGTGTGGTGTTGCACCAGTGTATGCTGCGTTGCACCAGTGTATGATTTGTTGCACCAGTGTATGCTGTGTTACACCAATGTATGTTGTGTTGCATCAGTGTATGCTGTGTTGGTATGCAACACACACCAACCAGTTGTGTTGGCGTGTGTTGCAGCAGTGTATAATTTCATTAATATCAGTATTACACAAATGTCTATTGCATTGACGTGTATTATGAAAGTGTGGTTTTATGTACAGCTTTATTAATATTTTTATTTGAGGGGAAGAGAGGTTAGTGGTGGGAGAGAAGTTAGTGGTGGGAGAGAGGTTAGTGGTTATAGACTGATAGTATTAACATATAACATAAGTATTATGACAAGAAATATGTTCTTGACATAAAGCTTGCTTTTCGACAAACTAACACTCTTTGTGGTACTCTCTGGTTCACACTGCTCCTCCTGCTTCTAATGCTGCTGGTGTCTACTCTATTTCCTGTCCATCTTGTCCTCTCCAATACTTTGGTGAAACTGACCGTACACTTAATGACAGACTTAAGGAACACAAAAGAAGTGTTAAGTCTGCAGACACAAACAATGCTGTCTTCTGTCATGTTAGGGATTCTAATCATCCTATTGATTGGTCTTCCTCTAAAATAATCTTTCCTGCCTCTGCTCTTCACAGATGCCGTCTTGTCAAATCGGCTCTGATACACAACATGCCCATCCCTGTTGACTCATCCCTTTTACAGTACTGTACATACTCAAATGCTCTAACCTTTCTAACAAACATGACCTGACATAAGCCTACCCCCATTTTTCTTTCTCCTCATATTCTTACGTTCCCATTCTTATATCCATTATTACCCCCTTCTTACACCCTATTATTACCCCATCACATCTGCACCTTTTGCCTTGTTCTTACCTTCCTCTAGGAATTTCCTCCTCCTCACCTCTCTCCACTTATATCTTGCCTTACTTAATGCCTGTGTCTCCCTCGTTCCCATTACAATCAAGTTGATAATGGTCCAGAAGGGACCAAAACGTTGTCTCCTCCGCATCTTCTTTTGTGTGGTTTAGTCTTCATATTCTCAGCCACGTTATTGTAACTCATCGTCGGCATTATTATTTATTATTATTATTATTATTATTATTATTATTATTATTATTATTATTATTATTATTATTATTATTATTATTATATACAGCTGCCAATTCCCCAACCAAATTAATTTCTAATAGTTAAATTTTTTGAGCCCCCTGATAAATGGGAAGTGAAGAGAATGTATCTGGGATAGCTATTTGGGGGTTACTTTTTGTGTGATTATTTATTTGTAATTTAATAAAAATTATCTTTTGAATGCTCTTCATATTAGTCAAATGCAGTCAAAGGAAGAGCATTTAGCATGAAGATGATGAATTACAGCACCTATGGAATATGCAACTGCTTGTGGGTCAGCATCAACCAAGAATAGCTGAGCCTATGCTTCTCAAGCCAACCCAAGTGATGTGCCACTTCAGTCTCAGCTAAGTTGGATTAAGCCAGCCTGTTGCCCATGGGCCTGATCCTCTGCTCAGCCCTGGTTATTGGCAAGGTGAGCAAAGTTTCAGGTGTGTGGGAGGCAGGTTAAATCACATCCCCTAACACCATCATCATTGAATGTTGTGGCAACCATCACTCTGTACTGTAATTACTTAAGTGTAGTTACAGAATGAGAGCTACACTCATGGTGTCCCGTCTTCCCAGCACTCTTTGTCATACAGTATAATGCTTTGAAATTACTGACAGTTTTGGCCTCCACCACCTTCTTATCCTCCACCACCTTCTCCCCTAACTTGTTCCAACCATCTACCACTCTGTTTGCGAAAGTGAATTTTCTTATATTTCTTCGGCAGCTTTGTTTAGTTACTTTAAATCTATGACCTCTTGTTCTTGAAGTTCCAGGTCTCAGGAATTCTTCCTTATCAATTTTATAAATTCCTGTTACTATTTTGTATGTAGTGATCATATCGCATCTCTTTCTTCTATCTTCTAGTCTTGGCATATTTAAGGCCTCTAACCTCTCCTCGTAGCTCTTGTTCTTCAGTTCTGGGAGCCACTTAGTGGCATGTCTTTGCACCTTTTCTAGTTTGTTAATGTGCTGCTTAAGATATGGGCACCATACAACAACTGCATATTCCAGCATTTGGTCTAACAAAAGTCGTGAACAATTTCTTTAGTATTTTGCCATCCATGTATTTAAAAGCAATTCTGAAATTAGGAAGTGTAGCATAGGCTCCTCACACAATGTTCTTTGTGGTCCTCAGGTGATAGTTTTCTATCTAGAACCACCCCCTAGATCTTTCTTTATCAGAATTTTTTAAAGATTTCTCACATAATTTATAAGTTGTGTGGGGTCTGCATTCTCCTATTCCACATTCCATAACATGGAATTTATTCACATTAAATTCCATTTGCCAAGTGGTGCTCCATATACTTATTTTGTTCAGGTCTTCTTGAAGGGCATGACAATTATTTAAGTTTCTTATTTTCCCCTATTATTTTAGCATCATCAGCAAACATGTTCATGTAATTCTGTATTCCATCTGGTAGATAGTTTATGTAGACAATGAACATTACTGGTGCAAGAACTGAACCCTGTGGTACTCCACTTGTGACATTTCTCCAGTCCAGTACATTGCCTCGAATTACTGCTCTCATTTTTCTATTAGAAAATTTTTCATCCATGTTAGACTCTTACCTGTCATCCCTCCGATATGTTCCAGTTTCCAGAACAATCTTTTATGTCAAACTCTGTTGAAAGCCTTTTTTAGGGCCAGATAGATGCAGTCAACTCAACCCAACCATCTCTTTCCTGTAAAATCTGTGGCTCGATCGTAGAAACAGTAAATTCATTACACAGGATCTTCCAGATCGAAAACCATACTGACTGACTGATATTATATCGTTTTTCTCCAGGTGTTCTACCCATTTAGTTTTAACATTTTTTGCAACATTTTGACTATTACACTTGTCAATGATACAGGTAATTGAGGGAGGGGGGTCTTCCCTGCTGCCACTTTTGTAGATTGGAACTATGTTAGCTTTTTTCCACACATCTGCTACGACTCCTGTACACAGGGATGCCTGAAAAGTCAGTTGAAGTGGAATGCTGAGCTCAGGTGCACATTCTCTCAGAACCCTTGGTGAAAATCCATCTGGGCCAACTGCTTTGTTCTTACAGTACTTAGCTCCTTGAACATTTTTTTCACTCATGTCTCTAGACACCTCTGTGCTCTATGTTGTTCTCTGGAATTCTTATTGTGTTTGGATCCCTGTAGATTTCATTTTGTACAAACACTGCATGACTGCTGCTGCCATTACCACCGTTTCTGTTTACAACTGTGTGATTATTGCACCAATTTATTATTTACAGAACAGAGCTCAGACCTGTAAAGCATTATTCCCTATTTACCTTATAAATTCCTCCAAGTGACTTTTTATGTACAGTAATTAGCCTATCCCCCTTGTTTTCATTCCTCTGACATTCTGAGATTCTTCTCTTTTTGGCAAAAGACATTTAATATGGTTATCAACATGGTGAATAATTTCAGAACCATTTTAATTAAGTATTCACTACTTTGCCCAAAACATTAAAGACTTTTGGTAAGTTTGTGCAATAATTGATTTGTGGGTGACATAATATATGTTGCCTGACCATTTTTTGCACTCATCCAGATCTGATGATGATGATGGTAAGATTCATCCCACCAACCCTTTCATTTTTCTTGGCAAGCTTCAGTGCCAACATCGTGGGGCACCATCTGTGTGCCTTCTAACTCCCCTGGGTACCAGATGGTTTGGACATTTCAGAAGAGTATCAGGGTTATGTAGTGGTTTTGGTCCTCCTCCCCACCAGTATTTCGAGTGCCTACTCTGCCATCTACTACTGTTTCATACAATTGTTTATGACTTGTTGCTTGAGGGTGTTCCTGCAGTTGTACTGTTCTTATGGATAACGTCCTGCTTCTTTTCAGTGCTCCAACAAGTTTCTCTGGACCGAATCTCGTTTTGCTGGACCACTTTGTTTTCTATAAGTTCCTCCCTTGTCCTACTTAAATTTATAGTTGCATTGCTTGTTCCAGGTTTGTCAGGTGCTTTCAAGCATCTCTTGGCTTGCCCCTTCATCTCTGTTGTTTGGTCCTCCCTTACCCCAACATCTTCCTCTGTCTCATATTGTCCTCCAACATCTTCATTTTTGGAGAATCAGCATTCTCACCCGCCTCAACAACGAGTTCCTTTGGGCCACCTGTCATCCAAGTTGTCTGCTAGCCAGGGTTGTACTTCTTTTCCAGTTTGCTTGCTTCAATTTTTTTGTGAACTAAGAGACATCTCTGAATCTAGCTGGACTCAGCCTGGTCTGGGTTGTCACGCTGTTCTCTCTTTCTCTCCTTCGGTTAGCCTTGTAGGAGGCTTTGCCTCCGAACTATGGTTGGTGTTAGGGTTACCTTACCTTGAGGTGATTTTGAGGCTTAGCGACCCAGCGGCCCGGTTGTCGACCAAGCCTCCTAGTCGACGAACACCAGGGTTCAATTTAAGAGGTCAGGGTGGTACAGTGGCAGAGGTTGTGGCTTACAGTCTGTTGGTCACAGGTTCGAGTCACCTAAGAGGCCCAATTCATTTTCTCGCTAAATAAAATATTGACATTTTAAATTACAGAGGAACAAAATTACTGCTGGTATACTGTTATAAGTGTTTTGTTATGTTCATGATATTATACCTTCTTGTTGACCTGCAGATGTCTAGTGTTCTGCAAGTAGAGGTGAATTGACTGCGCCGGTTCTTTGGCCGCCAGTTGTGTTTTAAGATCTAACTAGAGGAGCAACTAAACTGAAGATTAACGCACGCAATATTCTGGTGGGGAAACCGGCCTTCATCCATGTAAGTAGCTGGCTGCGTAATGTGTGAGACCAGGATACTAGCCTTCTTTGTTCATTCATATTCCTTTGATAATTATGCATGATGGGTTGTACGAATCTCTAACATCTAGAGCCAATTTTATTTGAGATCAGATAGGATTTGTTGTGTTTAAAAAATTACAGTATGTACTGTATTTTGTTTGTACTGAAGTATTAATTATTTTTTATACAAAAGTACATTACTTATTCTCTTAACACTTACATTGCTCCAATTGCTGGAAAGCAATTGGCCTATGTGCTCCAATCACCAAGAGATGATTTAAGGTGCCCATTATTTAAAAAAACCCACCCATTCTAGGGAGGATGTCATTTGATACAAGACACCTTTGCTGATCGTTTGCCATATTTGGAAAAAATCCTGACTCACAGGATTCAGTCTGAGTGTGACTCCTCACACTCCTTCCTTCCAGGGTCTTAGTAATAATAATGCAGACCATGTTTGGCGCATCACCATCTAGCAACTGAATGTCCTGGGCGGTCATACTAGGAACCATTGAACTCTTAACAACAGCAAATCAGTGATATCCATGTATATAATTGCATGAAAATGTGTGCAATTATATATACTGTACAGTATACAGTATATATAAATATATATAGATATATTTTTGTTTAATTAATTAATTCATTCATTGTGTCGGGAAACAGGAAGCCAGAGTGTATTCATACACGTTGGACTTATATCAAGGTCCCCCCCCCACAAGGCTACTTGTGGGGGAGGGGGACTTGGGGAACCAGACTTGTAATATATATTTGTTACTGACCCCCACCCAGGATGCAATCCTACAACAAGCTGACTCACTCCTGAGTACCTAGTTACTGCTATATGAACGGAGGCATTAGGTGAAAGGAAATGTGCCCAACCATTTCTGTTTTGCCCAAGATTTAAACCCGGAATTCTCAATTGTGCATTGAGAACGAACCCAACTGTACTACAGGGATGTATACCGGTATGTGTAATAAGTATTAAAACTCACAATGGTGTGATGTATGAAAGAAAATCATTTTGAGGCAATGGAGTGACTTGAACTAGCATTCTGATAATCCTCAGACACTTGCATTAACCGACTTAGCCACAATGACACAAAAGTTGACCAACCCGGAACGCTACTGAATTCACTGAGAGGTTCTGGAGGCCCTTAACTAGAACCCAACCAAGATTTTACAGTCAACCCGACCACACTCTGGCCTACAGTGATGGTGTTCACACTCTTACACCCCATTCAAACCGCAATGAAATCACAGTGGTGAGAAAAGGCAGGTGTCTGGGAATCACCAGAATGTGATTTTAAGTAAATCCATTGCCTAAAAAATTATTTTCATTGATATATCATGCCATTGTGATTTCACTGTGATCTGAGTGGGGCATGAGAGTGTGAACACCCCACTCAGTGGGGTGTTCACACTCTTGTCATATACATCAGTGACATAGATGAGAATATTACAAACCACATTATCAGATTTGTAGATGACACTAAGTTTTATGGTAAATTGGTATGTGAAAATGATAGAGGCCTTACAAAGAGATCTACAAGAACACTACAAATGGTCGGAAGCCTGGCAAATGCTTTTTAATATCCAAAAATGCAAGGCCTTGCATGTGAGGCATAACAATGCACCTCACAACTATCAAGTTAACAGCATTATCTTGCAGCAGATTGATGAAGAAAAGGACCTTGGAGTCGGAATCTACCATTCAATGAAAGTTGCACAACAAGTGGGAGCTGCAGTAAAAGAGCTAAGAATAGTCAAACAAACTCTTTAACTTCAAATAGTAGGTGGTGGTTATTCAACTGTATAAATCTCTGGTGTGCCCTCACTTGGCTTATTGTATCCAAGCATGGAGACCTCATCTTCAGAAAGACATAACTGCTTTGGAGAAAGTTCCATGTCGGGCAACAAAAATCATTCCAGAACACAGTCAACTCTCATACCAGGAACAGTTGAGGGGCCACAGAGCTAGCAACACTGCAAACCAGGCTTGACAAAGCTGCTTTCATCAAAACTTAAAATGCTGTACAATTTGGAGGACAATTTCTTTATCTGAATTTACCCATGAGTCACTAACACTAGTGGCCTCGACAATGACATGAAGCCTGCAGCTTGTCAAAGGTCCCCTCATTTCCCTTGATGATCATTTCCAGTTGGATTTTAAAATTTAACAGAGTTTAGCATTCATGAATTTGGTGGGTAGGCAGTTCCATGCATTTATAACACTGTGGGTGAAAAAGCATCTTCTGTTCTTAGTCCTATATTGTGGCTTGTTGAGCTTGAAACGGTTGCTCTTTGTTTGTGTTATATCGGACCTTTTTGAAGAAATTGTCCGGTTATAAAAGTATGGATTTTTAAAAGGTCAAATGTAACAAACGAGGAGAAGCAATTTTAAGCTTAACAAGCCACAATGTAGGACAGAAAACAGGAAATACTTTTTCACTTATAGGGTTATAAACCCATGGAGCCCCATACCCATCAAAGCCATAAATGCCAAAACACTGCTGAATTTCAAAATCAAGCTTGATAAAATCATTAATGCAAATTGGGGGACCTTTGACAAGCTGCCAGTTTACTGTCCTCATCAAGGCCACTAGAGAGATAGTGCCCCTCAGGTAAATTCAGATAAATGTGTTGTAGTTTGAACCAAGAATTTGTGATTGCTGCCAAACAAATGTTCATCACCTTGAAATATTTCTGCATACAAAAATGTGATGAATTTAATGTTTGGATAGGAAGGTGACTACTTGTGTGTGCAGGATTTTGAAGCTGGAGGAGGGTGCATCAGCCTTGGTTGTCATCTTGACAATACAGTACTGTTGTGTAGGGATGCTGGGACACATTTCTTTATTTCAAGATGGTGGATGACTACTTGAGCCGTCAAGGAAAAAATGTCATACCCCTAAAATCAGCACAGTTTTTTAATACACTGCACAGTATTATGGAATGGCATAAATCACCTCAAGGTGATTGGAGCATAATGAGCAATCATTTAAGAGTGATTGGAGCAGTTTAAGTGTTAAATAACATTAGATGAATTTTTCAAATAAATTTAGTTGGTTTTACAATAAATACAGTGAAACCTTGGTGTATGATTGCGCCTGAATACTAATTTTTTGGTGTCCGATAACAATTTTGTTGGAAAATATGCCCTGATGTATGACATTTGCTCCTCATACATCACCGATTAATCCAATTTACTTTACTTCTTATGAGAAAATGTTATTCAGTGTGTGAATATTCGGGTTACATTGCATTTCTTGGAATGGATTAAACTCATACACTGAGGTTCCACTGTACACAGGATTTACCTAATACAACTACAGTATAAATTAATTTTATATATTTTTAGTTTATATACTTGCAGGCTCACTTTATATTAAACTTGAATTTTCCCTAAAATTAAAGACTACAGATACTGTACTTTGTTCTGTTATTCATGAATGTACTTTAGTATTTAAAGCTATCATATCAACAGGCAAGATTCAAATAAATTACTTTGATATGGAAGCATCTTTTATTAACCAATATACAGTACATGTTTATACAAGATCACCCTGAAATGTTTTCTTTTAAGAATGTCCCAACAATGTCTATTCCTTCATCTGATTTTGGTTTGAAACAAAAACTATTGGGCTCCCCACAAAAAACTACTGGGGCATCCCACAAAAACTACTGGGGCATCCTACAAAAACTACTGGTGCATCCCACAAAAACTACTGGGGCATCCCACAAAAACTACTGGGGCATCCTACAAAAACTACTGGTGCATCCCACAAAAACTACTGAGGCATCCCACAAAAACTACTGGGGCATCCCACAAAAACTACTGGGGCATCCCACAAAAACTACTGAGGCATCCCACAAAAACTACTGGGGCATCCCACAAAAACTACTGGGGCATCCCACAAAATACTACTAGGGCACCCAACAAAAATCTATAAGGGCAATTCACAAAAAACCTACTGGAGCACCCAGTAAATAACTTCTGGGCTGCCCCACAAAAACTACTGGGATACCCAATAAAAAAGTAGTCTGGTCCCAACAAAAACTACTGTGGTACTCAACAAAATGCTGCTGGGGGAGTTTCATAAAACCTTCCGGGGCACCCCACAAAAACTACTCAAGACATTCCACAAAAAGCTACTGAGGGTTCCTAACCAAAACCTACTGGGGCACCCAACAAAAAATGTCTGAGGGTTCCCAACAAGAAACTACTGAATGTGCCCTACAAAAAAAAAAAAAAATACTAAGTATAAAAAAAAATGGGTACACCCATAAGAAACTACTGGGGACACTCAACAAAAATTAATGAAGTGCACCCCACAAAAACACTACTGGAGGGTTCCCAGGAGTTTATAAAACTCTGCATTGCATGGGCTGAAAGAAAGCTTGGAGGGCTTGACAAATTGCAGAACAAAGCCTTGAGGATAATCCTTGGGTGCCCTCGTACCACAAAGATACTTAACATGAGAAAGGAACTTAATATTCCGAGCATCGTTGATCGTGTTACTGAAATTAACTGTCAAATTGGTATAAAAGTGCTTAGGCCAGCTCATCCTAACCTATGCACTGAAGCCCTCCAGAATTTCACCCATGGGCATCACACGAGAAGCAAATATATTTTTGACATCCCAAGAGTGCAACTTTACCAAAACAAAAATGCGTTGCAAATCAAAGGTCCTAAGCTATGGAATGACCTCCCTAATGAGATTAAAAATTGTACATCTTCAGTTTAAAAGAGAAACTAAGAACTACCTTATTAACTTCATGACCAATTTTCTTACCCTTTTCTCATCCTACATATCAACCTAAGTGTTGCTGTTATTGTGAACATTTTTTATTAATTACCTCATACCGATGTGAGGTATGTCGGTATGTGTATGTATGGTTTGTATGTGAGTTTGTGGCTGTGTGACATACCCTGAGGAGAATGTGACTTCCTCTAAGCTCACCGGGTGGGTATGTGGGCCTGCAGGCCGCTCCAAGTAACAGCCTGGTGGACCAAACTCTCACAAGTCAAGCCTGGCCTCGGGCCAGGCTTGGGGAGTAGAAGAACTCCCAGAACCCCATCAACCAGGTATCACTCCAATTGATACCTGTTTGATGGGGTTCTGGGAGTTCTTCTACTCCCCAAGCCTGGCCCAAGGCCAGGCTTGACTTGTGAAAGTTTGGTCCACTAGGCTGTTGCTTGGAGCGGCCAGCAGGCCCACATACCCACCACAACCCGGTTGGTCCAGCACTCCTTGGAGGAAACAATCTAGTTTCCTCTTGAAGATGTCCACGGTTGTTCCAGCAATGTTTCTTATGCTCGCTGGGAGGACGTTGAACAACTGCGGACCTCTGATGTTTATACAGTGTTCCCTGATTGTGCCTATGGCACCTCTGCTCTTCACTGGTTCTATTCTGCATTTTCTACATTATTCCCTGGTGATTCATTGCCTGAACCATATAGTCTCATCAGTCCATTTCCCTGTGGAACTGGATGCTTCAGGTGGCTCAGCTTCAGGCTTCTTGGAGTTCAGTTCTCTACATGATTCATGTGTGGGGTGTCAAACGTCGTCACAGATGGGTGTTTTGCTTTCATCCCATCTCCATGGAGTGGACTGTTGACGAGTCCTTCTGTCAGCTCTGAGACATTGTTTTCCCTAGGTAGATTTCTTCATGTCGGCGTGGAAGTGGCACCGTGCCTCCTACATGGTTTGGTTCCCCGATTGAGAGGCTATCGCAGTTGATGTATTTTTGCTCGTCTCGTTGATTGAGAGGCTGTCATAGTTGATGTCTTTTGGTTGGTCTGGTTGAGGAAGAGGTGCATTTATCCTTTCACCCTGGTTCACTTGTTGCTCTAGGTGTTGTCCAGTCTGGAGTCATACTTGGGGAGGAGGATTTTTCTGGCTTGTTGGTTGCTATCGCAGCATTGGTTTCCAGTGCTTTTTACCTGGTGTCCAAACCAGGGTATTTTCTGTGGAGAGCCTCTACGGCTCCCTGGCGCTATTGAGCTAATATGGAATGCATTAGTCTATGGAGTTCAGCTTATCGGGGACCACGAGGCAGAACCTGGCCCCCACAGAGAGGTGTAGGGACCAATGGCTCTGGAAAAAAAAAACTGTGGTTGGGGGGGTTCCTTATCTGCCATCAACAGGGGTTAGGCACCCAGAAAGGTAAGCATAACAAAACAAACCCCACATGGTAAGGAAAAGCATCCAAAGAGAAACAGAACTCCCTCCAATCACAAGGAAACAACCAAACGTCACACTCCACCACCGTGTCGCTTGTCTGCGCAGCCCCTCCCCTCCTTGCGCCGGCTACTTAGCACTCCAGTTTGTTCATTAATGTCTTCTGCATTAATGTCCTCATGGTGTCCTCTGCAGTGTTGTAGTATGTGGTGGCCAAGTGTCCTGAAGAGTAACGGGGCTGCATGAGCTTAATGGACATCCATCCCGAGGCGCCCTATGAGAACTGCCCTTGCGTGTTAGGGTTCTCTTCCCTGGTGCGTTTGGGAACCATTTCCATAGGGGTTTTTGCTGCTCGGCATATACCCCGCCCTTGGGACTAGCTGGGATTTCATGGCCCTTGTTTGGCCTTGGGTACGGACTGGCATCGTGCTGGTTTGGGTGTCAAGGTGTTGTGCAGCCTGCCTACCTATGCAGCGGCCAGTTCCTGTTTCCTCTGGGGACATTTTACTTTTTCGGGGTTTTTCTTTTGTTTTTTATTTTATTGCCTGGTGGAGGTCTGCTTGGTGTGGCTATAGTTCAACTTCTATTATTTTGGTGGCCCTCTGCTAGGTTCCTATGATTGTACACGTTGCAGGGGTTTCAGTGTTTTGATCTTCTCCTTGTTAGCTTTGGGTCTTAACCGATTATCAACACCTTACCCGGGCTTCCTGTAGCAGTCAGCCTACAGGCCCTGGAAAATCCTGTCGGGGCTCGGTGGACCTATGGATGCATCTTCAGAGTTCCAGGCTGCCTTGTGTAGCTTTGAAGGTTGCTGTGTGCCTTTGTCTCAGGGTGACAGTCAACTCGTTTGCCTCTGTTATGCTGCCTGTTGGGTCGACGACACCTTTGACCCGGAGTCTTGGGAGTCGTGTTTTCTGCTTGTTCTCCAGTACTATTCTGATGACATTACTGTTATGGTAAAGGCAGCATCCACAGTACATGCTAGGTTCAGGTTGCCCACCTGGACGCCCCGCGGCTG